CTCTTCAGCCTCTGCAAGAGGAGGCTGAGAGGTGATCTTGTGGCCACCAACAAACTCATCGGGTGGGGGACAGCAAGAAATAGGGGATATGATGTTTACCAGGGCACCAGTCGGGGTAACTAGAAATAATGGCCACAAACTGAAAGAGAGCAAATTCAGATTGGACATCAGGAAAAGATTCTTTATGGTGAGGGTTGCCAAAATATGGAATAAGCTTTCCAGGGAGGTGCTGTCCCCTTCCTTGGAGGTATTTAAAAGTAGATTGGACAGACACCTGGCTGGGGTCATCTGATCCCAGCACTCATTCCTGCCCAGGGCAGGAGGTCAGACTCTGTGATCTAATAGGTCCCTTCTGACCCTAACATTTTTGAAACTATGAAACTATGTTAAGGCTTTTTCTGAGGCCACACATTTTAAGTTTGCTTTTGGCTTTTACTCTTTTTATAATAATTCAGTAGTTTCTGAAGATAATGATAAGAATGATTCCTTGTAAGAGAAGGTTGTAAAGATTCACCTTCATCACTACAAAAGGGCAACAGTGAACCCTATAATATAATTTGATCTCTAGGCCAACTCTTGATAGAATGGGTGAAACTTGACTTTTTTCACCAATATTCACATACCAGCCAAAGATGTTTGTTTTCTGTCTGAAAGGGAAACTGCTCTCCTGGCACCTTTTATAACTCTCCAATGACAAACTTCTCTAATGTTCTACATAACAATAATTGCCATATAGCATTTTACAAGCAGAATAGGCACAAACTAATATCCAGAAAATCTAGGTAATACTGAAAGGGATATCATAATTTTGAAACTACCTAAATCTTAGGAGACAAAAAAACATTTTAAAATGTTTTCAGCTGCCCCTGTCATCCTTTGATCATTGTTTTTCTCCAACTGAAAAACAGATTTTTTTTCTTTCCATTTCGGTATTCAAACATCCAGCATCAAAAAGGGAAGTCTGACTGAATAGCAAAGTTAGTCTAAACAGTAAAATTGGCTATACATTTGGTTACTACCAAAAGCATGCTGTAACCAAACAGAAAAATAACATACTTGTTTCTTTTTCAGTTGCAATGATTTTAGATTAACTTACAAAGATAGCATGTATTTAAAACATTGTCACTAGCATATTTTCCCTCCCCACAACAGTGTTC